CTTATTCCTAATTTTATTGTGAATTCCTTTAGGGCTTCATTATTCAGTATGAATGTTGGCTATTAGTTTGAATTAACTTTCAATTGCTTGGACAAATAACTAAGCTGGGGAAATTTTAAACACAAAGAGTAGTTATAGTCCATCTAGACAGTTCCCAATGTGTGAGTGGGTTATCTTTTAAAAGTTGTCTTAATCTGTTGAGAGCACAAATTTCCCCACAAATAAAATATTATAAATTATAGTGAACTTTCTTGACTTCACCCACTTAAGGCTACAGGACTAAGACGAGCCTCAAGCATGAGCTTTCTGACCCTGGTGTGTTAAATGATGAATTAAAATTATTAGATGGAGGCTCCAGTACATAAGCAACAGCTCAGTCTGGGTCAGCTGTATCTAGGAATGAGTCAATAGCAATGCAAATGGTAGATATCGTTGATTGAGCACCTGGCATATATACATATGCCAAATGTACATAAAAAATTTCATCACCACAGCCTTCATGTTAGATTCAACCTTTATCCCCATTTCATGGATGAGGAAATTGAGGCTCAGAGACTTATTTGTCTTTAGAAGCTATACAGACATCGATTCATCTGGATTTTCAATCAATCATTGGGAAAGAAAAAAATTCATTGTTAAAAAAGGGAATAGAGCCTTTTAGCCGAGTGTTTCTCAAAATTTAATGTGCATATGAATCACCTAGAGAATTTTGTTAAAATACAGATTCTGATTCAGGAGATCTCGGAGTGGAAAGCCAAGTTTCTGCCCTTATAACAAGCTTCCCAGGTAGTGCCAATGCTGCTGGTGAACAGACTACAATTTGAGTAGCAAGGCTCTAGCTCATTTAATTAAACCCTCAATGATAAGCTTGATTTCTTCTTTTAAAAATGTGTATTTTTCTTAAAAACCTTCAAAAAAAAAAAACCACCCTCATTTATAACAGCTATATTTGGTCATATCTTATAACATAATCCTTGAGTTACGGACAGAAAAAGGGTCCTAGAGGATACCTTTTAATTTGGTCCTTCTGGTCAATCCAGGAAAGTTGTATATGTGGATGAGGGGTTTTAGCTTCCGGTCAGAAAAAGCCACAACTTCATAGGGAATGTTAGTTGCCACAACACCCACAATTCCATTAATACACTGCAGTACAGTTTTTTTCTTGGTTTCAATATCAATAAATATTACGTAATTCCCACTAGGGTAGCAAAAGGTGTTGTCGTTGACAAAATGAACATGTTGCTTAGGGAATCCTTGCACCCATCTGTGGGAAAAGAGATGTCACTGTCAATATAATACATTTCAAACACTTTTTCTTTATTTCCCTTTTTTTTTTTT